TCCCATGCCGTAAACCATATCATCGTTTGTCACAAACAACACATTATAGTCATTGTTGTCAGTAAATACATGAAATAACTTAATATTATTAATGTCTATTGAACTATTAATAGAATTATAATCATGAAGAATTTCTAAATTATTATCACCAATAGCTGTAATCTCTGTATCCTTGTAATGAACGATATTTTGTTTGGTCTCATTTAAATCATCACGTGATTTCTTGTTTAATTTACCATCACTTGTAATATTGATTATATTTAATTTACACTTTAAAAACTTATAAAAGAATGTGTTTTCATTCGTTTTAAGTTTTTTAATTATTTCATCAAATTGTTTATCGTTTTCAGTTATTATTTGTTTATCGACTGACCAGTAGTTGTAATCGTCGAGTACTCGACCACTAGTCGGTCGATTGGATGGCATTCGCTGAACCATTTGTCCAATTATTTCAAACAATTTGTTGAAATTGGCTAAAAATATGGTTGAATTATACATTTTCATTGGGTTCTCACTATATTTAAAATTAAATTAAAGTATTATAAAGTTGAATTAAAGTTTATAATTAATAAATAATAGCAAACCTATCGAATAACTCAAACAAATTTATTGCAATCACTCCCAGGCTATAGATGTCTACCTTATTGTTATACCGGCGCTGATGTAATTCGGGTGCCATATATGCATGGGTTCCCACATTAGAGGTGTGGCCAATGGATGTGTTCATGTGATCGGTAGCCAAACCAAAATCACACAGTTTTATAAAATGATTGTTATTATTGTTTTGGTCTATCATTACATTCTGTGGTTTGAGGTCCCGATGGATAACCGGTGAACACAATTCGTGTAAATACTGTACACTTTCTAAAAGTTCTCTAAATATTTCACAACAAATAAAATACTCGATGACTTCCATCGGGTCTTCCGGTTCTCTCCTAAAGATAATGGGTTTTGTGTCGAGAATTGTCTGAAGTGTTTGAGTGTAAAAATCCATTTGAATGTAAAGATGATTGTCTTCTAACCACGAGTTGCGGTAATTCACCACATATTCTGACCGCAGTTTCACTAAATTTTGGACCTCTTTTAGTATTGCCTGTCGTTTATCTTCACTATATGTCTCTGTAATATACGTCATATAAATTGGCCAAAATTATTTATTTTATTTATAATTTATTTTAATGACATGCAATTACCAAGGAACTTTACAATCTTAACCGCGTACACCTCTTTCTCTACAATATGCCTCACTTTATACACTTCGCCGAAACCTCCTGACCCTATCGGCACTGACTCTTCAAAAGTAATTTCAAAAACACTTTTGTTTGATTTGTTATCGTCTATAAGTAGAATAATATAAATGTAAGATAGGTTAAAAATAAAATTATTAATAAATTTTAATTAAAATGTATAAATAAAATGTGATAATTTTTAAATAAAATACTTAATCATATTGTGTAAATAGACATATAGTACTTTTATTCACTTATTTAATGCAATTACTAAATTGAACATTGCTAAACACTATTTTATGATTATAAAACTAAATTCTCTTATATAACATAAGTTAACAGACTGACAGCTTAATCATTTATAAGATAAGTAATAATGGATACTCTTTATGATTGACCAAAGTTTTATTTGCGAATACACTATGTTATCAATTCTATACAGCTTTTATGTTAAAAATAATTAAGGTTTTGACTCCAATTGTAAAAATGTGAGCACAGCCGCCATTTTACATAATAAAAACTAAGGTTCATTAATAAAACTATTTAGAACATGATCACAATTTTTATATAAAAATAGTCTAAAATTTAATTAATACAAAAATTAATGTTTTACTAAAAACTTATTTGTAATACTAAATCTTTTATCATAATCACTCGCATTTTATAAATTACCCTATTTAATTAACAACCTTTAGTTTACAATGTTTAATTTACAAAAGTACGGTATATTTCATTACCTTTTAAAGTAGATTTTGAAGTTTTATTAGTATTTGATTGGTTTGAAGCCATTTGTATAATAATGACACTTTTAATTTAGTTTAATAATATTTAGCAGTTTTATTAATTGTAGGCTTTTTTAATTTTAATTTTATTTAATTAATTTTATAGAATAATATTCAAAATAACTTTTCAATTAACAAATATTTTCATAAATGTTTAACACAATGTTGTTATACAACGATTTATAAATTTTTAACATATAAATACACATTTAAATAAATTAATGAATTAATATAAAATATTTTAACAAATAATAAAAATATAAAAATAATTGTGTCGTTATTAACACATTAATAGAAAGATTTTAGTATAAATTGTTATAATCAAAGAAAACCATTGGAAACATAGATATTATACCAACGAATCTAAGACAATATGTGATAATAACAACGTTTATTGTATTTATTGGGTCATAAATTTTTAGGTAGTATTAGCGCATTGAATACAAGTTTGTTTCTGAAAGAAAAATTAAATGTTATTAATTGTGCTCATTATTTTATTAAAACAAATAAGAAACCAGAATTTTGATATGAAATTCAAATCTATTTAATACGTAAAGTAATTAACTTTAATTAGAAAACTAAAAGGTTAGTTATCCCTCTTTGTAAATGTTATTTCTATGAGATAACGTTTTTCTATCGAGAGTGTAATCTTAACCATGAATAAATATTAAACTAATGTGACAATTTACGTAGAACAAATTGTTGTTAAAAATATTTACAATTCTCAGAATAACAATATTTAACGTATGCTAACAAATGTAGTGAAATAATTTTGAGTCTTCATGCATTTCCTAAATTGTGGTTAATCAATAACATCGCTGTGTATGTGTGGTGTTGATTATAATTAATAATTTCATATTGATCTAAATATGATATATATGATTAATTAATATATCACGGAATTTAAAAATCAATTAATTACAAAATTTTTAGAAACTTTATCAAAATATGCAAATTTAACTTGAACCATATAATTTTATTTAAAACATATAAATATATTGTGTGCGTGCAATAAAACATAATAAATCAATATATTGATGACTTCATTACTATTATTCAAACTGTTTTATTAATAATTATAAGTGCATAATAAAATATTATTATTAATACACTCCCATTTAGAACAGTGATAAACCAATGTTTATTTATACCTTAATTTCTCCCCCACTTTAACTTTTACTCTCCCCACGTATATAAACCACAGCCCCTGTGACCGCTCATTACATAGTTATCAGTAAACTTATTAAGACATTACATATTTCCTGATTTAATTTAAATTTAATAAATAATTTACATTTTCATTATATTGTGTCAAATAATTAATTCCAAGAGCCGGGAGACGGACACAGACGGTGTGAGTATTGCTCGGCCGGAGGGGGTGTGGACTCACTTCCCTCCCGCCGGACAAGTACTACATTTGGGACAAGTCTGGTAAGTGTATGTCAGACCCCAGTATCAGCCTTATTAACTGTAGTCTGTAATGACATGACATATTTTTAGCTATATATTTGTATAATTGCTATTGTACTCATACAGGGTGGAGATTAATCGACTCCGCAAAAGTAAACTCGAATATCTCGAAATGTATTTGGTCTAGAAATTCAAATGATATATCAAA